AATGAAATTGTAGATTGTTCTTAATATTTTTTTTTTTTAATAATTTCACTCCCAGAAAGGCAATAAAGTCACTACGACGCAAGGGGTTTGGTAATATGTGAAAAATTACTATTCTACTATTAAGAAGTGAGAACAATACACGAAAATAATTATGAAGACAGAACATAATGTTTGTACTTGCATTTAAATTTTTGCAGGTAAGTGACCGGGAAGGAAGAAGCCAGCAGAGAGCCCCAATTGGGAGAAGTGCGATAGGAGTGACTGTTAGCATAGAACTATATCTAGCTATTTCAACTTTAAAATCATGAGACATTGTCCCCAGTTTTGTTCTGCGCTCAAATTCATAAAGCATATCATCGCGGAAATTAATATTTATTTCAGGTAATAACAAAAATAGAAACAAAGCCTAAAGTAGGAATAGAGGAATACTGGCCTTCAATCTCTCTTATCTTATACTTACATAGCAAGAATTACTGACCAAAACATACACACAGTATTTCTTACAACAAAATAACACATTCTTCCTTAACATTCTTAGTACACTCACCATAATACCCCAGAGTCTCTATATAGACTTAACTAGTTCCTATGTGTGTAATTTTTCTATGATGTGGTGCGGAATATAATAACAAGATTTAAAATTGAAACCTCAATGAATATCATAGAACGTTGATAAGAAAAAATACCATGATTGTCCTTATAGGGAAGTTACAAAGAAGATATGTTATGACGGTTGCAAAGTGTCTGAAGCCCAGATACCAAGTTAGGACAAATGGAATTGCAGATTCTTCTTAGGATTTTATCAATTATCCCTAAATATATAGCAGAAGGACAAGATCAGATAAAACTGTTATAGTAAAAGCAAGGACGACTGGTAGACTTGTAAATATAAATTTATTTCAGGCAAAAATATATTGTAAGTGTACAAACGATTCTTTTACCTTAAATTTACTTCCAGGTGATGTTATTTTATTAAAGGTGAATGGATATCTGGCGATTGACTTAATAGGTTTCCGACTTTCGTTTTGTGTCTGAAAAAATGTCACTTTTATAGGTTATCAGATTTTTTGGTAAGATCAATGTATAGTATCTGTTCTCATTAGTTTAATCTGATTCTCTCTCTCTCTCTCTCTTCTCTCTCTCTCTACTTCTATCTTTTTTTCATTCTTTCTTTTTCTCACTGAAACTAAGTAATATCTTTATCCGCTTTCCACCTGATCAAAACGGAATAGTCCATTATTTATGGGGTATTTCGCACGGTGTAGTGGTCGTGCTAACTAACGCGGGAAGGAACAGGATGCGTGTCGTATTTCGTTACCTTTCTCCTACGTGGGTTATTTAAAAATAATAATATTAAAGAAAAAGGATGAATCTCTCTCTGTGTCTCAATTTATGGTTGCATATAGCCATTTCAACAATAAAATCATGAGACCTATCTGCCAATCGTGAACTGCACTCATGTTGGTAAAGTCGACGTCCCAAAGACGAAATTTCATCAAAAATTACCACGAAAAAAAATTATTGAGAAAAGCACATGGATGCGATGTTACGGAGGGGGCAAAATGTCTTAAACCGAGATACAAGGAACTATAATATTGCTGATTCTTCTTTGGATTTTTTTTCAGACCAGATCGAGCAACAATAATTAAAGAACAGATGAATGGTATACTTATAAATATGTAATATAGATTATGTCGAGAAAAATCGTCTTATATGTTATATGTACAGACAGAGAATCTATTGAGGCATGTAAGAGTGAATAAGACAAGAAATATTCTTCTTTCTTTTATATAGTAACTTCCAAAAGGCAAGCAATTAATATTTCTTCATTTATGTGACGTGACTGGCAGATATTTAATAGTCATTTATGATTTATTGGCAGGGCGTAAAGGTCGTGTCAACTAACGTAGAGATGGACAGGATTTTATTTAAAAACAATAACATTAAAAAATAAAGGTGATTATAACTGTGTCTCTCAAACTATAATTGCATTGGACATTTCAACATTATGAGACGTATCAGTTAATTATGAACCGACTGTTCGGTTGTACTCTCTTCCTACGGACGGGAGGAACCCGAAGGAGGCTACGCCGAAGGGCGGAGTCTCCTTCGGGGAGGTAAAACCGGCCCTGAACCCGTTTATACGGGTTCAATGGGCATATTTTTGGCCGAGCACACGGGCTCGGAATGCCCACGTTAAAAATGCCTTGTGCCACATGACACCCTCCTGGGGGGAATGAATATCATCAGTTAATTATGAACTGTGCTCACGTTGGTAAAGTCGACGTCGCAAAGAGAAAAGCTCACCAGAACAATTACAATAAAAAAATATCGAAATAAGCACAGGAATGCTGTTTTACGTGGGTGGAAAATTGAGTCAAGCCGAGATACAGATACAGGACATTATATACCTATATAATTGCAGATTCTTCTTTGGATTTTTTTTTCAAGAATCTTTAAATCCATAGCAGCAGCACCAGACGAAATGTGGCAGCAATAATCCAAGAACAGGAGAATGGTATACTTATAAATCTATAATATATATCCTGTTGGGGAAAATTGTCTCGAACGACGTAGATATTATATGTACAGATAGAAAATCTATTGAGAAATATAAAGGCTTTCTTTTACATATTACCTTCTAAAATGTAATCAAGTCACTCTTCTTTATTTATGTGATGTGTCCCTTTAGGACGCAGGCTAACATGGCCCTCTGCATCTTCCTATCTCATTTAACTCTTAATAAGTTTTGCCTTTTCGTTATTTCTCCCAAGCTCTATTCTACCATGTAAACCGAGATACAAGGTCAGGACCTTTAACATTGCAGATCTTCTTTGGATCCTTTTCACACCAGAAGCGGCAACAATAATAGAGAACAGGAAAATGTTATACTTATAAATATATAATAGACGTCCTGTTGGGGAAAGTTGTCTAGAACGACATAGATGTTATAAGTAGATAGAAAATCTATTGAGAAAATATATGAGTAAATAAACCAGGGATAATCTTCTTTTTCTTGTGTATTACATTCCAAAAGACATGTAAGTCGTTCTTCTTCATTTATGTACCGTGTCTGTTGGACTTATTGTTGTGGTAGAATCCACCTAATTTGCATAGTGGAGTACCGACCATATAAATATGGTTGGTACCGGGAAGACGAGGAGAGGAAACAAGATATTCAATCCAGAGACTCTGCCCGACTGCGACTCAGTCAACCCATTCTCCAGGAACGGTCTTCCCAAGAATATACAAAAGACTATATGTAAATATTGTGTACACTTTCTTGTTTCAATACATTTTGTTCTAAGTACATTTTGTGTTGTATTATTATTCCATGCATTAGTCAAGTTTCAACACATATAAATACGTAATATAGATTCTGACGAGAAAACACTATCTATCCCGACCACAGAGGACCAACTTACGTAGAATTCATTGTTTCAATATAATTTTTCCACTTAATGTTTGCGGAAATGCTTAGTCCGTGAAGAAGCAATGTGTCTCTCTCCTTGAGGTCAACATTGGCCACTAATTAGCAATTTAAAAATCGCATTATGAACATGACTCGGGATTTAGCAATAGATTTGATTCCGAACAACAACAACGGTTATATTAAATATATCAACTTACATTTTAAGTTCAAAAGATTTACTTAATAAACTATATATAATTCATTATCCTTCTTAATATTACTCAGTAGACAAGAGGTGCTGGTGCAGGAATGAACCTAGAACAATGTATCCATCAGGAGTTTGATAAGTGAATACTAATGGTATTCACTCACACCATAGACGTAGTAGTAGTAGAATTCTAGGCTTGTTTAAGCTAAAAACAAGAAACATAGATATACACAATAAACAGATAGCATTATAAATTCCATGGTAATTTCATACATTTTATTTATGAATTTGTGTGTATTGGTGAGTGATTATTTTACGTTATAATGTTATAAAAAAAGCATTAAGTAATGAGAGAAGTCCTATCACGGAGGGAAGTTACACAAGTGTTGTCATCCCGACAGTTCTTGGGTGAATAGATCGAATATCACGTCTTTGGCGGGATGACCGTATTTCCCGACAGGAAAAATTTCTTGTTGCATGCAGGGAGTAATTTTGTTATTTTTAATTTAATTTATTTTAAACAAGGTTTACATATTGTTGTTTTATTTAATTTTATTTATAAATTTCATAATTATTATTCGTATTTTATTTATTTGTAACACTAAGAATATTCCTGCAATACTGGAGACATGCACCACAGTCAGATATGAGTGTGAAATAGAAACAGATTAAAATTGAAAAAAAGAGCAAATGCACTACAAAAAACTTGCACCTGATGTCGAGATGCAATTAAAGTCGGTTAAACCAGGACTGACTAAGGGTGGTTCGAATGCATAAGAAATGGCTCCAAAGTTGACTTTGTTGCCTAATGCTTTAAAATTAAAAATCATCTCTCTCAAAACATGGCGATTAGTTTCTATCAGTCTCAGTCAATCAATCTATCTCAGTCTATCTAAATCATATAACTATCTGTTTGTCTATCTATCTATCTATCTATCTTAATCTATTCCCATCTATCTAGCCAGGTATCTAGCTAACTAGCTCAGTCCTTTACATATCTATCTATCTATCCATCTATTTATCACATCCCTTTACATATCTATCTATCTATCCATCTATTTATCACATCCCTTTACATATCTATCTATATATATATATATATATATATATATATATATATATATATATCTTAGCTCAGTCCTTTACATATCTATCTATCTATTTATCACATCCCTTTACATATCTATCTATATATATATATATATATATATATATATATATATATATATATATATTAATCTATTCTCATCTATCTAGCCAGGTAGCTAGCTAACTAGCTCAGTCTTTTAATTATCTATCTATCTATCTATCTATCTATCTTAGTCTATATCCATCGATCTACCTAGCTAGCTCAATCATTTACATATTTGTAAAACTTAGTCTGTCTGTTTATCTATCTATCTATCTATCTATCTATCTATCTATCTATCTATCTATCTATCTATCTATCTTAATGTATTCCCATCTATCTAGCCAGGTATCTAGCTAACTAGCTCAGTCCTTTACATATCTATCTATCTATCTATTTATATATATATATATATATATATATATATATATATATATATATATATATATATCTTAATCTATTCCTATCTATCTAGCCAGGTAACTAGCTAACTAGCTCAGTCTTTTATCTATCTATCTATCTATCTATCTTAGTCTATTTCCATCGATCTACCTAGCTAACTCAATCATTTATATATCTGTAAAACTGTTTATCTATCTATCTGTCACAGCCCTTTTACATATCTGGCAAACTCTCTCTCTCTCTCTCTCTCTCTCTCTCTATATATATATATATATATATATATATATATATATATATATATATATATATATATATACATATATATATATATATATCACTTCCAACCTATTCATGTGTATCTACTTTTCTCAGTCTGTTCATATTTATCTATGTAACGATCTATTTATCTGTCTCAAACTGATCATATTTATCTCAGTTTATTCATATCTATCTATATATCTATCTATCTATCTCCTTCTTAAATCTCTCTTTCTCTCTCTCTCTCTCTCTCTCTCTTCTCTTAAAGTTACATTCTCTATACTCTCATTATATATCGCAGTGTCTTTTCCCAATTACTATTATATCTCAGTTTCAATAATTACATTGTTTCTCGCGGTAATTACCGACAAAATGACATCTCCCCGATGTGTTTTCCGGTGCTACGTTAAGAAACAAGTTTATGGAAATAGAAAAAAAAATCAATGGAAAACATCTCCCATTGCAGCACAAAGAAGTGTGATTTAATCACGGAAGCGACGAAAAGGAAATGGTCACATGAGTACAGGTGAAAGTCACACGTCGAGTGAGGAGACACTGATTGGGAAGCAATATGATTAGGCAACGCTTCATTGTTTTAATCCAACCATACGGGCAATCGCCCTTGCTGACCCCAACCTATATATATATATATATATATATATATATATATATATATATATATATATATATATATATATAGGTGTGTGTGTGTGCGCACGCGCGTGTATGTGTGTGTGCATGTATGTGTACGAGCTTTTGCGGAAAACAACTTGGTCTGACAAAAAAGTCTTTCCACCCAAAATTTGATATACATTTCGCCAGATATCACGGCTCTTGATTAAATTCGATAATAAATATATTGATGTCGCTATGAGCACATGATTTAAGGATTACTCAGACAGTCCCAAGCACACACACACACACACACACACACACACACACACACACACACACATATATATATATATATATATATATATATATATATATATATATATATATATAAGACGTTTTTATGTTTATACGTTCTTTTTATACATACAAATATTAAAGTAAACGCTCTGTTTATAATAAACAGTATTAAGGACATTTACCGGCTTGAATGTCCGAGAAATTTTCTTAGAAAATATGCGTCCTTCGACAGGAATCGAACCTGACGTGCCACAGGTGATTGAGCCACAGAGGAGCGTTTCGGTTAGCAAGGTCGATTTTACTGTTTTTAAACTACAATTCTCCATGAATTTTTCTCGTACATTCATATCTGTTGGATATTTGTATCTATAAAAAACGTATAAACATAAAAAAAAAAAATATCTTGAAATAATTGTCGGATTATATATATATATATATATATATATATATATATATATATATCACCTGGGTAAAATATTACAAATGTTTATCCGTACAGATTTCATCGGCAAGCATCCGTTTGACTTTGTTTTATTGACCAACTTTTCTACTTTTCTTTTTTATTTTATATATATATATATATATATATATATATATATATATATATAATTATTTATTCAAAAATTATAACATAAAATCACTACAAAAATAGCCAATTCGTTTTAACACTTCTGGTGGGATGGAGTTGAATGTAGAATAAAAGGTTTATATATATATATATATAGAGAGAGATAGATAGATAGATAGATAGATAGATAGATAGATAGATAAAAATGACTAAACTTGAACATTGAAAATCTAAAGGAGAAGGCGAAAAATACCATTGCCAAAATAATCCCAGAGAACAGAAGATAAAATGACATGCCATCACTCAATCTAGAAAGACTTAGGTATTCTACAAGACTAGCCAGTCATGGCTGAACATTAAATAAAAAAAAATAACATGATCCCATTGTAAACTGGGAAATATTTTATTAAAAAAAGCAAATCTTTACAATAAACATAGTGATATCTGCAATCTTTGCCAATAAGAAAAGTTAACAATAATAACATTTCTAAACGAGAAAAACGATCTGAATGCCAAATCAGAAATAATCGTTAACAGTGAAAATGCAGAGATAAATGTAGATGTCCACTAGATGCATATTTTCAAAACTGGAGGACTAATTTATAAAGCAGGAGTAAAAGATACAAATGGGCCGACCAAAATACACGTATGATGTACTGAAGACAGAGTGAAGACGAGATCGTAAAGTCACAAGTCATCATTGAAACTAAAAAGACTTTTACCCGACTCGCCAGCTTTGTGTGGAAATTAAAAGAAAAATAACAAAGATCCGATTATAAACTGGGGAATATTAAAAAAATAAAAACCTTGCAACAATCATAGTGATGTCTGCGAAAAGTTAACAAAGAAAAGTTAATAATAATAATATTTCTAGGCCAGAAAAAACTCCTGGAAGAGAGATAAAAAATAATGACGTTATGGATAGACACAAAAAGTTGCTTTTCAGTTCGTAGGGACCATGGTGGAATTTAGTACAAATCATTTTATATATACACACACACACATATATATAACGTCATCCACAGACAGACAATTTCGCTGTTTACGGCTCATCAGTGTGGCTAGACATCCGGTTGCCTCTAGCTAGGATCGAAACTCGACTGAATTGGTGTCAGTCGGAGCTTCTAACCACTAAGCCGTCAGCGCACGGTAAGGATGAAGGTGGATTTTTAGCATATTTATTTTTAGAAACATGCCCAGTGACTGACAGTGACACAATTCGCTTTCGTGAAGAGTCTCGCTATATATATATATATATATATATATATATATATATATATATATATATATATTATATATGCGTGTGTGTGTGTGTGTGTAGATAGATAGATGTGAATAGACTGAGAAAGATATGTAGATAGATATATATTTAAATTGATATGTAGTGATTAAGATAGATAGATAGATAGATAGATAGATAGATAGAGAGAGAGAGAGAGAGAGAGAGAGAGATGGAGAGATAGATAGAAAAATTAGATAAGAACATGATATATAAGACAAAAAGATTGATATGAAGAGATTGAAATAAATAGATAGATAAGAACATAGTGATATAGAAAGACAACTATATTGCTATGAAGAGACTGAGATAGATACATACATAGATAGATTTAATGTAGACTAATTACCTTCAAAAATAGGTCTTCAAAGGTTGCAAGATATACGAGTCTATACTGTAGATAGTTATGAAAAGACTTGAGATAGATAGATAGATAACGAACAGACTGAGATAGATAGATAGATAGATAGATAGATAGATAGATAGATAGATAGATAGATAGGAACAGACTGAGATAGATAGATAGATAGATAGATAGATAGATAGATAGATAGATAATAGATGGAGATAGATAGATAGATAGATAGATAGATAGATAGATAGATAAGAACAGACTGAGATAGATAGATAGATAGATAGATAGATAGATAGATAAATAGATAGATAGATAGATAAGAACAGACTGAGATAGATAGATAGATAGATAGATAGATAGATAGATAGATAGATAAGAACAGACTGAGATAGATAGATAGATAGATAGATAGATAGATAAATAGATAGATAGATAGATAAGAACAGACTGAGATAGATAGATAGATAGATAGATAGATAGATAGATAGATAAATAGATAGATAGATAAGAACAGACTGAGATAGATAGATAGATAGATAGATAGATAGATAAATAGATTGATAGATAGATAAGAACAGACTGAGATAGATAGATAGATAGATAGATAGATAGATAGATAGATAGATAGATAAGAAGATAGATGAGATAGATAAAGATAGATAGATAGATAAGATATGATAGAAAGACAAATAGATTGATATGAAGAGAGAGAGAGAGAGAGAGAGAGAGAGAGAGAGAGAGAGAGAGAGAGAGAGAGAGAGATGAACATTCCGAGACAGAGAAAATTACATTCTGTAGTTTTGGGGCTGCAGCAGTTTCCGGAAGGTTGTCAAGACTGACTGCCAACCGCTTTCGTGACCCCACTCAGGGTTCTGTCTGGATTGTCTTACACAGCCTTCTCCATATTTATGGGAAAAAAATACTTAAAAATTTAGGGGAAAATTCCCATTATATCTTACCTGGCTTAGACATTTCGGCCACGTAGAATATCGTGATCAAATAAAGCTGGAAGTGTTCGATTGAATACATATCTTCCTCCCGATTCTCGAAATAGACTTATCTGTCCTGTTTGTTATCCTGACGTAAACAAAGGCACTTTTTTAGGAAATGGATTAAATATAGTAATATTTCATTAATTTTTAATAAATCCATTAATATTTCATTAATTTTGATAAATCCCTGAATATTTCATTAATTTTATTAAATCCATCAATATTTGTTTAATTTTAATAAATCCATTAATATTTGATTAATTTTAATAAAGCCATTAATATTTGATTAATTTATCTGCTTAAACGTTATTTTTAATCGCTACTCCTATTTATTTATTTTTTTTATTAATTATTAATTATTTATTTACATCTACCGGCCTGAATATTCGAGAAATCTTGTTACAAATATATGCACCCTACGAAGGTCGCATATTTGTTTTATATATTTTAATTCATTTCCTAATATATTTCCTTTGTTTACTTTAGGATATGAACAAAGCAAATATGTATATTTCGATAATTTCGAGAGATATGTCTTCAAAAACATTATTCGGCCTTTTTTTTATCAGAAGTCCCTAATTGGCCGTGGGGTCTAAGGCACGTCATATATATATATATATATATATATATATATATATATATATATATATATATATATATATATAATGTTATCTCCCGTCGGTTTTTCGACGTATGAGGATCTGACAGCTTATTGATTCAATTATGAAATTTGGTGCCACATATGACGCAAGTGTGAGGATTGTGAGATGAGATCACTGTTAGATTCGCTGACCTTTTTAGATCTTGCTCTCGCTTCTTAAGAGGATTCAGACAAGCAGATTGAAAATTGCTGAGTCCACTAAAACACGTTGATCTCCATTCTACCCGCTCCAAAGATAAGCGCTCAAGGGTGCTATGTGGTATATTGACTGCTGACAATACATATATATATATATATATATATATATATATATATATGAGGCACGTTATATATATATATGTGTGTGTGTGTGTGTGCGTGTGTGTGTGAGTGTGTGTGTGTGAGTGTGTGTGTTTGTATTACTCGTTATATATATACATATATATGTGTGTGTGTGTATGTGTGTTTGTGTGTGTGTATGTGTGTGTGTGTGTGTGTGTGTGTGTAAGGCACGTTATATATTTCATTTAAAATCTATAAATCCGTCGTTGAGTAAAACAGATAAAACAATTTATAAATGAAAAATCTATTAGA